TTCGAACAATTTGGCAAAATATGTTGTTATGTCTTGTTATCATGTTGTAAATATCCCTTGAATATATGTGCATCTTGTGTGGTTTAGTGCTTGATAGAAAGCGCAAATGAAGCCTCCCAATTTTTTGCAACACGCGAAAATACATCACCTACTGGTGTTTGGCCCTATCTATGCAACTGTACACTACAGGCATCTGTATGAACTTACATTACTTGTGGAACTAAAATGTTGTAGAATGGTTTCTCCTGTGTCCTTGTTGGATACTGAGGCGTTGGAAATTTCAACTAAGTAGGTAGTAGAAGGTGATTAATTTTGGAAACGTTTATGTATCCAGTACCTGCCATACTGTAACTAGTATTTTTTCCCGCAAATTAATAATAATAATGTTATCAGTAGAGAACTTGTGGTAGTTGAGTGCAGGACGAGCAGAAACTGAGAAGTACTGGATAGTACTCCCTCCGTTCCTAAATAGTATAAGCCTTTTTAGAGATTCCAAGACGGACTACATACGGAGCAAAATGAGTGAATCTAGACTCTAAAATACGTCTATATACATCCGTATGTAGTCCGTATTGATTGAAATCTCTAAAGTGGCTTGTATTTAGAAACGGAGGGAGTACATAACTTGTATTCACCCCTTTGATGATACTCCCTCCGTTCCGAATTACTTGTCGCACGTATGAATGTATCTAGATGTATTTTAGTTCTAGATACATCCATTTCAGCGACGAGTAATTTGGAACGGAGGGAGTACATGATAAAGCAGTAAATTGAGCATAGAAATAGTGGGAGAGGGAAGCTATCTAATGCCTTAGTGCCTTTACATCTACGAAAGGGCAGCATAAAGCCATAAATTGATTTGGTGTTGATAATATTCTTTATATTCTGATCGCATGGCAGACTGCTCTAACTATGTTCATATGCAGTTCTCGACGGAGAAGAGAAGCATTCTACCTGTTGGGGATATAACTGAGACGATATCTGATGAAAAAGCAGATATTGCAGTTCTAGAAGAGCCAGAACATCTGACCTGGTACCATCATGGACGGAGGTGGAAAAACAAATTTCGTAAAGTTATAGGTGTTGCTCACACCAACTATCTGGAATATGTGAAGAGGGAGAAAAATGGTTACATTCATGCATTTCTCTTAAAACATATCAATTCTTGGGTCACCGACATCTATTGCCATAAGGTTAGCAGTTTTATTTTCTATTCTGTTTACTGTCATCTCATTTTATTTCAAGCATTTCATTAAGTATTAACATCCAGTTGGTTTTATGAAACCTCCTAGTTTTCCAGTCTCAAGAAGCTGAATATCTTTGTAGATGATTTCATGGATGCATAGTTGCCAATTTAACATCGATAGCATGTATGGAATTACCATATTTGCATAGTGATTCAGACAAAGCTGGTCCATATTTTTTGACAGTTATTGTCTACCTAGGGCTGCCCCACTTGTTATCTGCAACGTAAACCATTGTGGCAACTGCATAATGCACTGCTGTAATGTATTCATGAATGGTAATCTTTTCATATCTGCATTGGTACAAGACCATCATCCATCCATGATTTGTTATGCAAACATGTGCTCCATTTTCTCTTCTTGAGGACAATATATTTTTTAATTTTGTTATGCGCAGTTTCTGACCTTTTGTTGCCCGTGATGTTTTTTCTAGGTTATAAGATTATCGGGAGCAACTCAGGAAGTCCCGAGATCTGTAATTTGTAATGTTCATGGAGTAAACCCGAAATTTATTGAAATTGGCAAATTAAAGCATCAGCAAATATCTCAAAGAGAACAATCATTCTTCAAGGGTGCATATTATATTGGAAAGATGGTCTGGAGTAAAGGCTACACAGAGCTGCTTCAGCTGCTTCAGAAGCACCAAAAGGAATTGTCTGGTCTCAAGATGGAGCTGTATGGCAGTGGAGAAGATTCCGATGAAGTTAAAGCATCAGCTGAGAAACTCAGTCTGGACGTTAGAGTCTATCCTGGCCGCGACCATGCAGATTCAATATTTCACGAGTGAGATCCTGCGTCTTTCCTATTCCTTAATTTATCGTTTCGTGTGCTCCAAAGGGCCACACAAGCGGCGTAGCTGCTAGTGCTAGTTCGAGCTATACATTTTACCACAATTGCTTTATGTCATCAGTTTATTCCTAAACCAGCTGATTTATATTACCTATTGTTTGTTTCAGCTACAAGGTTTTCATAAACCCAAGCACAACAGATGTAGTTTGCACCACAACTGCAGAAGCCTTGGCGATGGGAAAGATTGTGATCTGCGCAAACCATCCTTCAAATGAATTTTTCAAAAGATTTCCCAACTGCCACATGTACAGCACGGAGAAAGAGTTTGTGAGGCTAACCATGAAAGCACTGTCAGAAGAGCCGATCCCACTGACCGAGGAACTGAGGCACGAGCTTTCCTGGGAGGCAGCGACAGAGAGGTTTGTCAGGGTTGCCGAAATCGCACCAGCCACGCCCGCCAAGCAACATCCTTCCACTTCACAGCGTTTCATGTACATCAACCCGGATGAGCTGAAGAAGAACATGGAAGAGGCGTCGGCATTCTTTCACAACACCATCTCTGGGTTTGAAGCCGCCCGTTGTGTGTTTGGGGCGATACCGAACAGCCTGCAGCCCGATGAACAGCAGTGCAAGGAGCTCGGGTGGAGACCCCAGGGATTATAGCCTTTCCACCTCCATGCTGTTGGCATCGACCATACAAGTTTACAACTAATCGCAGCCCAGTTGGGGGGCTGAGGAAACTAACTCTGAAACGGAAACATGTGTGCTCTGAAAGGGATTACCGTTTGACAGGCCCTTGCTTTGCTCTCTTTCTGGTGTGATGAAACTGCAGTTTTCCTTGGTGGCGTCCATCAGATCTGTATCTGGCGATTGTGAAGTCTACCAGCAGGTGAGGAGTGCTCCTGTAAGTACAAAGTTGAAGCGCTCGGCAGTGCGACGGTCTCATCGTCAGGTGGCATGTATGTATGCTTTGTAACATAACATGCGTGGCAACTACTTGTGGCAAGATATAGTTCTAGAAAAATATGTTAAGAATAGAAGTATGGGTAATGTTTTGGCCAAACAGGGAGATTCACAGTTTTGGAGGGAAATACTAAAACACAGAGACCATTTTGTCTCCTTGTGTAAGTTTAAAATTGGAGATGGTAAAAGAGCTCGATTCTGGGAAGATTGGTGGATTGGCAATGCTCCATTAAACAAGAAATTTCCTAGGTTATATGATCTATGCTTTGATAAAAAGAAAACAGTTAAAGAAATTTTTGACAATAGATTAGATAATGTTCAGTTTAGAAGAACTTTACTAGGAGATGCAAGAGAACTGTGGGGGCATATTAAAGAGGCATGTAGTGTGGTGACATTGAATGAGGATAGAGATGAGATAAAATGGACTCTCAACAAAAAGGGAGTCTATACTGTTAAGTTCTTCTATAGACACCTGATTGAAAACGGGGTCAAATATCCACATTTGTATATGTGGAAGATTAAGATGCCACCTAGAATCAAGGTGTTCATGTGGTTGGCCCTTAGAAAAAGTATTCTCACAAAAGATAATTTGATTTGTAGGGGTGGAAGGGAGATGATAAATGCCCTTTTTATGGGCAAAAAGAGAACATAAATCATCTTTTTCTGGCTTGCTCGGTTGCTAGATTGTTATGGAACATATTAAAGTGGGCTTTCAATCTTAAGGATATTCCAGATACATTAGATGCTGTTATGAAAACTTGGGTAAATACTTTTGGAAAAGATGAAAAAAGTCTGGTCATGATAGGAGTACGATTTGTTGGACTATTTGGAAACTTAGGAATAGTGTGATATTTGACAACAATAGGGTAAATGATCCCTATGTTCCTGTTACTCTGTTTATTAAAAACCTAAATGATTGGAATATTTTGCAGACAAATTCCGCAAGAAGTAAGCTGATGGAGGCCGGAGTGAAGCTAGTGAGTGAGGTGGTAGAAGAAATTTTCAAAGCAGCGTATGGGTGGCGCCTGAAGACTGGGAGGATCGAAGGGTAACTGAAGCCCTCCCTGCTGTGATGGAAAAATCTTGGCTCCTGCCTTTTCATGCTGGCTTCGCTTCATTTTGCTGATGTTCAGACTAAGTGGATGACCCTGTAATATTGTGTCTGCTATAAAATGGTAGTTTCTCTTTGTAGCCTCTGTTCTTATAACAGAGTCTGTTGCCGCTCTGGGGCTGGATTCTTCTGAATCTAGACCTTGAACCATTCTTGTAGGTTCTCTCCACTGTCTTTGGGCTTCGGGGAGGAGAAGGGATGGCTTCTCCTCCTTCCTCAATGTGGCAGTAGGTTGATCCGTTAGAAGAGTGGAGTTTCGTGTTGAGGGGAGTGTGTTCCTTTTTTCTTTTTTCTGTAGCAAGACTTGGTGATTTTTGTTAATGGAAATCGGAGAGAGTGCTCTCTTTTATCAAAAAAAAGAAAAAAACTACTAGTCCACTACCGTGTAAAGCCGGCTTGTGTTTCGCAACAATTCTATATGCTGCTGCTCTTGGCTCATCTGAAAAAGTCTTCTTGTATAGGAGTATATTGCTCCGTTCCTGTGTGCCACTTGTTATAAACCTGGAGAGCTTTTGGTCGGGTGGCCTACGTGCCGAGCAGCTGTAGCAGGAGAACCAGCAAGCGATGACGTGAGGCGTCGTGTTTGCTTCCTGGTAGCAATTGACCCCCGCTCGACGCATCATCCGTCCGGTATACATATCTCCGTCCACCTCACACGATTCCGACCAAATTCATAGTCAGGACACGTACACGCACTAAAACACGTCTACATACATCTGATTAAAAATATTTATTTTACCGTAAAACATCTTATAATTCGGAATAGAGGGAGGACTTTTTTTAATTAGAGAAAAAGAAACAAAATTAGTATAGCAAACATGATTGATGACGCAGAAGCGGATATAAGTCTATGATATTCCAGCAGGACGTGCTAAATACGCCACGTGGTGTTGATGACCATGTGGCGTATTTGGCACGTCCGTAACGAGATAACTCATCAGAAGAATCCGCCCCCTACAGAAGCCTCTTGCAGATTTCTCCATGGGTATATTAATTCTCTACTATGTATCCGACAACATCCTAGAGCTGATATTGTTAAAGGCAAAATGGTGGTGCATTTGGGAAGGTCGGCTGCTACACAAATTAAACATAGTGGTGAGGAGAAGCGATGGATGCCACCAGCAGTTGGCTTGGCCAAGCTGAACATGGACGGGAGCTACGTCCCAGCTACAGGAGCTGCTGGCGGAGGTATGGTGCTGCGTGGCGCTGCTGGAGAGATTATTTATACTGCTTGCAGGCAATTACGTACATGCACTAATGGTTTAGAGGCGGAACTAGCTGCGTGCAGTGAAGGGCTGGCTCTTGCCCTCCACCGTATTGAGTTGCCGATTGTCATTGAGATGAATAGTTTGGAGGCGGTGTCGATGCTTAACTCGCGGTCCGTGGATCGCTCGAACCATCGTGTACTCGTACAAGAGATTCTTGGGTTAATTGCAGCTGACCCTCGAAAGATTTCTATTAGTCATATTAGTCGCTCTCAAAACACTGTTAGTCATGCTCTTGCCGCTTATGGTCGTAGTACCCCTCGCACCGCCGTGTGGTTGGGATCTGGCTTGCACAACATTGTAAATCTTTGTATGGCTGAACGGCCTCCTTGAGTAATGAAATTCCTTTTTACCCGGCAAAAAAAATATTCCAGCAGGGACAGGGAGGGAGGGAGAATCTTGCAAAAGACTGGGGAATCTGTCGAGGGCAGCGGATAGGGATAACCATTAAAACCACGCACGCCGCCGAGTGAACAAGTCCTTCTCATTTTCTTTTTCCTCTTCTCTGCTCCGTCTTCCCGTTGTTGTTCCGCAGCAACACCAACACCAACACGGTTGCTTCTCCCCCAGCGGCGGAAGGAATCTCGAGTCTCTCCTCCCCCGGCGCCGGGCGGGACCTGGACGGGTAAATCGCGACGGCGCCCTAGAACCCCCGAGCAGCCGGGCGATGGAGGACCGCGGCGGCGGGGGCGGGGGCGCGGGCGGGCGGCGGGTGGGGGACTACGTGCTGCTGCGCCCGATCGGGTCGGGGGCCTACTCGCAGGTCTGGCTGGGGAAGCACGTCGCCCGGGGCACGGAGGTGGCCGTCAAGGAGATCGCCATGGACCGCCTCAGCGCCAAGCTCCGCGACAGCCTCCTCTCCGAGGTCGACATCCTCCGCCGCATCACGCACCCCAACATCATCGCGCTTCACGACTCCATCAGGGTAGGGTACCCTCCCTCCTCTCTCTGTCTGTATCTTGCGCAATTGCTCTCGATCTGTTACTTTTTTTTATGTCATTGTCTGCTGTCTGTTAGTATTAGCCTGATATGCCCAGAATTGGGAGCCGCTGATGACGATCTCTATTTCGATTTGGTTCGGAATGCTCGGTAGGTAGACAACCCAAGCAAATGATAGGTTGGAACTTGATGTCCCCCTCTCCTAGTACTATCTACATAGATTCAGCAAAAATTTGAAAACTATTTTAGCTTTTATCCACATAGATTCCAGAAGAATAACTGTTTCTCATTATTGATTATGAAGTGATATATGTCTTGTGTATGTCTTTCAGGATGGTGGGAGGATATATCTCATATTGGAGTATTGTCGAGGTGGTGACTTGTACGCGTATCTTCTACGGCATAAAAGGGTTCCTGAAACTGTTGCTAAGCATTTCATTCGGCAGCTAGGCAAGTATCTTCCCACATCTCCCATCTCTTCCCATGGTTGATTCATGTTATGTGCCTTGTTCATAATCTCTTGTTTCTGCAGCATGTGGTCTGCAGAAGCTTCGTGAAAGCAATGTGGTTCATCGGGATCTTAAACCACAGGTCAGTCATCGCTGTCAACTATTGGTTTGCATTTCTCTGCTCATTTCGTGATCAAGAGTCTGACAAGAGAAATACGAGCTCTCAAACGGTTGCTTGGTAATTTTACCAAACCATTGAATTATAAATTTTTGTGGTTGTCCAAACAGAACATTCTTCTTGTTTCAAATAATGGAACTTCCATCTTGAAGATTGCTGACTTCGGATTTGCAAAGTGAGTTACTGCTGTTCTATTTCATTCATTCTCGGAGATAGAACATTAGTTGCTACTTTCCTCGCATGGCCTTCATTTAGTGAACTGAATCACAAATCCTGCTTTTAATCTTTGTTAGTGATGCCATGTAACATAGTGCTAGCATGCTACATATCACTAGAATGACATACGGCAGCCTTTCTTTCTTGCTGCCACATTTGTTTGTGGGGTCCACCAGCTACTGCTTGTTTTTCACCGTTATTTGATTTTCTTTTCCTGAGCGACTAGCGCTGTGTCAACTGATGTGGACCAGAATATTGGGAATAGACACCATGCCATGGCCAAAAGGTTCTGCTCCTTTCTTAACTGATGTGTGTCCTGCACTAATAGGTCAGTGTTCCGTTTCAATTGCAAAATAGCACAATATGTACTCCGCTCCTTTCCTAACGCTTAATGGACTTGCATCTTTCATTGATAGATCCATTTTACCTAGTTTAGCAAAAATGTGCAGTATCAGGTTCAAAAGTTCCCTGAACATGTCTGCAGTAACTCCTACAATCTGAACTGATATTGTGCTATTGCTGGAGAAAAAATATCATACATTTTCTAAGAGAACCTCTGCAACATCCAAAGTTTGTCTGCAATAATTTTGCCAAAAAGAAAAACACACCTGCAACCTTGAAAGTTATATCTGCTTCATTTTGAAGTAGTTTTTGCAACATTTGCAAATTACATGCGTTCATGAACTCGCATCTCGGCTTTCAGTCTCCACGCTGCTGATCAAGTGGGTTTAATAATGGGTGAATAAGCCATCAACTATCGGATAACTTCAGTATGTCAGGCGTATGATACTTTATCTGTTTTAGTTTCACTCATTTTGTATTTGTTTGCGTGAGCAGATTTTTGCAACCTTCTGGTCTAGCTGAAACACTTTGTGGTTCACCCCTTTACATGGCTCCTGAAGTCATGCAAGCACAGAAGTATGATGCAAAGGTCGGAGCTTTTCTTTTTTCCGTTTCTGTGTGGGCTTTGTGATCGACTGTTACCTGTTCTTGACTGTGTGTTTCATGCTTGATTTCTGATAGAACAGGCAGATCTTTGGAGCGTCGGTATTATTCTATATCAACTTGTTACTGGATCTCCACCTTTTAACGGGGATAGTCAAATCCAGGTTCATCTCATTTTTCACATGATATAATTACTTCAACATTGTTGAAATAGTATGTGCCTACAAGTGCTAATGGGAACTATTGTTACTTCATCAGTTGATGAAAAACATATTAAAGTCAGGTCAATTACGATTTCCATCTGATTGTGAGTTGAGCCATGATTGCATTGACTTGTGCAGAAAGTTACTGCGAATCAGTTCAGGTACAAATCATTGTCTTTGCGTATATAGAAACAATTTATGCAAGGCAGTAGGCAGTTCCTCACGTCATTATTTCTTCTACTGCTACTTAATTTTTTCTGGCATAAGTATTGCTACTTGGTGGGGTGAAGTATTAAGAAGTATTACTGTGTAACCTAACAGACATCTGGTCGAAAATAAATGGTACCATTCAAAAGTAAATTTGGGTGGCATTGTAATTCGTCATTTTTTCGTCTCTTTGACTCCATTTGCACCCTTCCTGGATTTACTGACTCATTATGCCTTAAAAGTTACCATGCAAAATAAATAAATTGTATCAGAGTATTAATTATTGCTAGATAAAAACTATTATAATAACATGTGAGTTGTGAGTTAGGCTGTACCTGTGGAGGATAATCATTTATTAGTGCACATTTATTTTTTGCATGTGCAATTTTAAGTTTTAAAGTCATCACAATTGCATGCTTTCTTCATGAACAATTAACAGTAATGACTGGTAACCATGTACAGCGTATCATTGAACATTATGAGTTGTTCAAAAGAAATAGATTAAAGCACATTATGCAATCTGTTATGATGTATATTAAGGAGTATTAATGGTACCATTCTAATATGTGCATGCAGTGGAACGACTTACAGTTGAAGAGTTTGTGAATCATCCATTTCTCTTTGAACATGCTCCAGAGAAAATCTTGAGGTAATATCTTCATGCTACCATCTTTATACCACATCATGCAATGTGTTTGATATTATGTAGTGCATTGGCAGTCGGACACCATCAGACACAAGAGATGGCTTTCCCTTCATTAAAAGCAGTCCAACGAGGCTTTCGAACCAAAGTTCTCAAGAAGATTGTATGCCTTTTCCTTTAGATCTGTCAACCGGACAGGAGGAGAGTCCTGTTCCTGAGAGTAATGCCCCAATGAAATCTTATGGGTTTGCTACTAGTAAAAAGTTGGATAAAACTTCAGGCCAGAGTCCGTCGAAGCATACAGGTCTGTTGTCCAGATACATTATGGGCAACAATTATGCACCTAGCAGTCAACGTCTGGACCATCCTGGTCAAAGGACCAAAGAAAGCAAGATTGGTGAAGGACGTGGTGCTAAAGGTGTTCATCCAGAAGGTACCAAAGTCTCTTGTGATTATCACACATTTCTTCATAATCATTGCGAATAGTTCTTACTGAATTCATTATTTTTGCTTTGTAATGTAGATTCCCCTATCATTGATTCATTAGAGTTTGTAGATCAGGAATATGTCTTTGTGTCTGGACATGCGGAAGGATCCTCTTCTTCAACAAGTGCCTCTCTACAGCGCAATTTACCGGCTAAATATGAGAATCCCTCTGTTTCGCCACCGAACTTAGCTGCTCTTAGTGCACCAGTGCCAATAAATGGCACAGCAATAAACAGGCAACAGTCTGCTGGAACTGGTAGCTTGGACAGTCATTGTTCTCCAATATCTGGTACTTCACATGGATCTGCTTACATGAGTGATGGCTTGGATCAACCACCATCTGATTATCTGACCAGGATTAGATTATTGGGGCAGTATGCTTCTACCATAGTGGAGTTGGTCAAAGAAGAGGTAAATTTATATGCTTGATGACTCTCTAGTCTTTGTTTCCTTGCTTTCCTATTTAATTCCCTTCTACTCCCTCCGTCCGGAAATAATCGTCGGAGAAATGGATGTATCTAGACATATTTTAGTTCTAGATACATCCATTTTTATGCATTTCTCCGACAAGTATTTCAGGACGGAGGGAGTATTTTATTTCATCTCAACTTTTTGAGATGTTGGAACTTTTTGTTCAGATGTTTGTGTGCTTTTCTTACTGTGGCAAGCTATTATTATGTTGGTTTTATCACATTGATCTGCCTAAAGTAACTTTGTGAGCATTATCTATGTGACTTCTAACTTGTTTTTACGTCTTGTTGATCAACCACCCAAAATCTTTGAAGATAAAAGGTGGCAGGCACTTAGAGGCATTCTCGATCCAGCTAATTATTCTTGCGACCTGGAAGCAAGCAATTCACATATGCAATTCCTATGCGGCTTCAGCTGCCAGAGAGAGTTCCTCACATGATATCACTATGAAGGGGCTTGATACTGACGCTCCCCATTTGCTTGCAAACTCTCAAATGGCTGATGAAGAATGCACACAGATTGAGAGGCAGTTTCTCACTGAAGTTGAACATGCTGAAGAACTTGCAAGCACTGTAGGGCAGATACCTGGTACTGAA